AAATAAATATAAAAAAAATTTTGTAAGTTGTGTAACGTTAAACGAAAATCTACATAGGGGGCACTGTCTCTGCTGAATTTTGAAGCATTATTAATAAAAAATATTGGGAAGACAATTTTACCTATAAGAACTGCTTCAACCCTAACTCCTAACTAACCCTTACCCTAATTTTAATTAAATAATCTCCCTTTAGACGGTCTCTTTTTAGGGCTTTTTTTGATAAACTGTTACACAGCCTTTTGCCATTAAGTGATGTGAAAAATAAACGAAAACATTTAATAAAAAACTTTTTTAGCTTCTATATGAAATAAATAAGCAATAAACACTAAAAAATAGCTACGCTAAGCCATAAAAAGAAAGCACTATCACTAGTTGTTGAAGGTTTGAGTATTTTCGGGTAGTGAATGATCGATCTTGTTTGATCGGTTGTATAAAGGGTAAGGGTGAATTCGGAAACAATTTTTCAAGAAAGTGGTCTTTTTAACTTACTTTCAGCTAATAATTAAACATGTAGATATTGCAATATTCTATACATTTAATTATGGATTCAAGTAAGTTTAAAAGGCCGTTTTTGTAAGAACTTACTTTGTAATAAATTTTAACAACAAATAATTCTCAATCATGATTGGCTAATTTTGGGGTCAAACCAAATCGGTCGATATGATTTAATTTCTAATTCATCTAAGATAGATGGTATTTCATATGCGCAAATTACTATTAAATTTATTATAATTATGAAATCTTCATTTCCTCTATAGCTGACTATTTATTTATTAAGCTAATATACATTTGATTCCTAGTAAAAAGTGTAGAGAAAACATTTTTAAAATTGGTTTAGTAACTCACAAGATATTATATTTTTGATTTGTAACTATGTAGAATTTTCTTGATGAATTAGGGAAAAAAATATAAAAAACATAATTTACGCTACAGTTACTATATAATAATACTCATTCTTATGTGGATTGCTAATAAAAGATCACGTGCCTGTAATGGGGTTGGCAAAACTAAAAATCCCTCCCAAATCCCAAATCCCAAATATAATAAAATTGTCCCCATCCCAAATATAATAAAATTCATTCCAAACCCCAAACCCAAATCCCAAATCCTAATAGTTTTGCAAGCAAGTCTACTGGGGCAGATTCTCTATCCAGCAATTATAATAAATTTTTAAGTTTTTTAAAACTTCTAACGAAGATTTCTCAATAACTATTTGATTAAATTCAGTAAAAAAAAATTGAATTGCCAATTCGTCTAAGATGAAATTTATTATAAATCGTAACAAATTTCTTATTTTTAAACCTTTTAAATATGATGAAAATTTTTTATTTTAATCCTATAAATCTACAGAATTAAAATATAAAATTTTTATCACATTTTAATAGATTAAATATTCACTAAAATTCAAACCAAAATTTGGCTGCAGCTTTTTAATAACAGATCATAAACTTTGAGCGGATATTACTCAACACTCATTTAATCAAATTCGATTAATTTTTTTTATTTTAATTCTGATATTTATAGAATTAAAATAAAAAAAAATTGATCGAATTTGGTATCTTAACTTTCACAGCTTGTATCTCAATGAATTTTGAAGCTATTTTAACGATTTAATATTCAAAAGAAAGCTTAGATCGTAAGCTTTCTTTTGACTATTGAATCATTATGATAGGCTCGAAATCTAGTTAGATTTTTTAGATTTACGTACCTTATGTGAACCCAAGGGTCCGTTAGATTTCATATTTCTACGTGGTCCGCATTAAACCTTGTGCGGACCCAAGGGTCGGTTAGATTTCATATTTCTACGTGGTCCGCTAAATTAAAAGACCCAAGGCCGAACGTACAAGTTGTAAAGTTTTAAATTTATGTAGAGTTTGAGAAAGTATCTATTTTGTATTTATTAATCAAGTTTTAGAACCAGTTTCATTTCATATACCTTGACCAGTCTATCATCATGCATACAAAGCAAAGAATAAGCCCTTACTTTAAGCATATATTCGTATACAATATTTATAATCTTTTCTACCATCTGGACTAATTTAAAGCTAGGGAACGAAAATTATTTGACTTAGGGTGCTTTCAAGTACCTATTTAATTATATAGTTTAGCCGGTTAAGTGAATTCATTAATGTGAGGAAAAAAAGATGGTCTCGACCATCGTTTTATTTAATATCCGCATTCTGTGGTATGAATTTCAGCAAAATTATCGTAAGAATCACATCAATTAATCGCAAGATTAAAACCTACCATCAAGCTTTTAATTATATTTCGTACTGAACACAATCTCTAACAAATTTGATTGAAAACCTGATGGCAAGTTTTCCCTTAGCAACACTCTGCAATGCCAATTTCAAAACAAAATTAATTTAAATCAAAAAATAAATCGAAAAAAGTAAAAAACAAAATAAAAAATAAAAGTACGGGCATGGGTACTATGTTTTAATATTTCCAAAATCTGTTTGAATTCCAAATGCGTACAGTTAGTTTATTAATTGGATACGCGTGAGATTTTTTTTGAAATAAACACCCTAATTGTTGTCGGGCAAAAATTTTTCGAAAAACCCGAAAATAAGCTACTCTTCATTTTTTTGTATTCAAAAATTGCTTTTAAAAAAAGGTAGCTTATTTTCAGGAATATACAGTATATTTTTCAAATGACCCAATGGGTCATTTCACTCTTTTAAATGACCGGTCATTGGTCATTATTCACTTGAGTCACGAGGTCATTCTAGGTCATTTACCATCCCTGTCGTTATGAAATATAGACATTTTTATTACTATCTTATCATATTATTGCATTATTTGATGTACTCTCGGGTGTACCTATACGTATCATCTTACGGGTACTATAAAGTCTGGATAGTAAAATTTTCATTCCGATTTGGACGTTAACTCGGCGACCGTGCCAGGTCTGAACAATAGAGGTCTCCGCTCCGCGCCGGACAATTAATAGAAAAAGCTATATATTTAAAGAATTTTTTGTATTTGTATTAATTATACTTTATTTATCCGATAGCATAAAATCGATGAAATAACTGATTTGTGTATAAACGTAAAAATCTTAAAATTTTGTAATTTAAAACAAATAATAGCGTTTAGGATTATTCTTATTTTATCGAGGCATCAATCTAGCATGCCTGTAAAATTAATAATATAACGCGAAAAAACTTGCACTTATGCTGTAATAAATGTAATAAAAGTTTATAAATATTTCATTATAGATGAACACAGTAATAAAAAAATGTGGATTTTTTTGAGACAGCAATATATTAAAGAAAATAAAAGATACAAATATTATTTTAAACGGTTAAAAAAATAAATATAATAGTTATTATTTCGTCCATTCAAAACATTGTTGAAAGTTGATAATAACAGGTTATCGTCGATTTCCCATATTGGTATACCGTCAAGATACATCTGCTTCATTATGTTTTTGCAACCACCTCCCAAGCCACCCAAATGTAAACGAGGATTCATTAATAATATTATGAGGAATAATAACACAATGGTATTTGGAATATAGCTAACCATCTGTCGTATCATATTGTTATTATTTGGCATACGCGAGAAAGCGTTTAAGAATTTAATAAATTTTTAATAAATTTGAAAATTGATTTGAGCAACAATATTCATCATACCCTCTGCATTTGTGTCATTGTAATTGCTGAGGAGACAATTTTGCATCTATTCCGGAACTCATTCTTTTAAACACAAGTGTTATTTAATGTTAATATGAGACTAAACATAAGAATTCTTCGATTATAGTTTAATTTTTGCTAGTATAGTAAATTTTTTTTTAATAAAGCGAATCTATAAATTTTATTATACAGAATTAATAGTATATAAATAAATAAAGGATCTATAAATAGAATACAAAATTTTATGTTAAATCTCTATTTATATATTTACAATGTAGTTTTTAAAATATTTATATCTTAATTTCTTTATAGTTATTACATAATATTTCATAAGAAAGTATAAGAGGAAGCATATGGCATAGGTGCATAAATATAATAAAAATAGTGTTCATAAAACTTAATCTACAGTATATGTGTCAAAATTTCATAAAGTATACTTAGATAGGGTAGTTAAAACCCATCTCATAAGCAATTAATGCATCATTTAAATAATCTTGATTTATTGTTGTATTTAATAAATTTGTTGTATTTAATAAGAAAGGTATTTGGTCATTGGAATTGACCATATTATCAAAATTGCAAGTGTTCTGTACATCAATGATTTCATTTTTATATGGATTATCATTGACATTAGAAAAATCAAAAATTCCAAGTTCGAATTGGCTATCGTCGATAGAGGTCTGATTTTCACCAATAAATAAAAGGTTATTTATGATATAATTATTGACTTGTTGATCTGCTTGAATCGGCAAATCAAAATCATTTGAACTAGAACTATTACTACTAGAAATTATTGATAAATTGGGGCTCGGATAGGTATTTTGATTGTTAAAGAATTCGGTCCAATCAGTAAATAAATCAAGGTTGAAAATTGGTGAATTTATATCGACATCATTAGGAGTAACTTGGAGTTTAGATGTGAATGATTCAAATCGTTGATGTTTTGTGGATTTATTAGCAGATCTCATAGGTTTAGTATTTTTAACTTTACGAGCAGAAGGTTTATCAAATGAAATAATTTTCCATTGGTCTTTCTTACTTTGAAGTTTTCGTTTAGGAAATAATTCATTACGATAATTGAATGCTTCCTTTGCGATTCTCTTATATTCATTTTTTACTTCTTTAGGCTCTTGTTTCCATGATCGAGATGCCATTGGGGAGATAATATTCATTGGCAAGTTATAACCACCAGCACGAGCAGTTTCAACAAACAATTTTCGATAAATCATAAAGGCATTAGGAGTTTTGGGAACACGACCATCAGGATGTAAAATAACCAAATCTTGTGGATTAATTTCTGGTGGAAATGGAATTTTAATAAGATGTTGCGAATCATCGATAACCTGACTTTGAATCATGGGGTCGTTTCCTGAGTTTATGAAGATGCAAGCACGATTAACAAAGGTGCTGGTTTGGTATTCGCTCATGTTTAAATTATTTGCTAGTTATGAGTTTTAATATTTTAAATATCAGTTTTCTTTCGCTTTTTGCTCTGAACTGAAGATTAGAAAGAAATCCAATTCCTGTTTATTTATATTTTTCTTAGACCCGAACTTAAATTTCTTAATAATTGCAATCGATAACAGATAAATATAATTACTAAACATGGATATTGTTCGGTTCTCTTGGAATTGTTGGTTTATTTGTAATATGACGTTATTTTACATACATAATGTAATTGCACCGTGATTATCCTAATTACTCTAATCGTTCTAAATTTAACTCATTACTGGTATGCGGGATAATGATTTTTTATCTCGAAAAAAAAGTGGCGTTATGTTTTAATTTAAACCCACCATAAACATTCTATAATAGTGTATTGTGATACACTCAGCCACCCAAAAAAAACATTTATGGAAGTGTAATTAATGACTAATTACGCATAATAGGATGTTAAAAGGTTGTATGCGTTTACGTTTTAAACTGATGGTTCATGTATACAACATCCCGTAGCAAATAAAAATCAAATACTTTGGTCATTTAACATCCCTTCATGCTATTATATTTATTTAATATTGTTATTTTTTGTAAAAGCAGTGCAAGCTACGTCCAACTTAACTCCAATAGCAACATGTACATCTTCGATATGGCGAAGGTTGTCCACATAACATAGTTAAATTTAGGCATTTTACACTCGAATTAAACCGTAATTAAAAAGTAACAATAATTGTGTTTACTGGAATTTATAAAGCCATTTAATAATCCATTCCAAATTCGACCATTGAAATTGCTCTGACGGTTCTTAAAGATTTTTAAATATAAAATTTAAATTTGTAATTTTTATCACATAATTCCTCTTATTATACAGTGGTAAATACACTAAATTACAATTAATAAACATTCCTACATTCTTATTATTGTTGTCATTGATGACTTTGTTTGGCGCTGCTCTTAATTGGTTACTAAAGAGTTATTACCTATTTGTTGCATCATCTTTATAAATGAGTGGGTTTGAATCAAGTGTCGTAGCTAGCAACTAAAAATAGTCTATATTCACGTCCAGAAAACTATAATTGTGTACTTGGAAAAAAGTTCTAAGTACACAAGGAGATCTTTCCTACCGGTTTTTATACATGTTATACCTTGCTGAAAAATTAGATGTCGTGATCTTCTGGAGATATTGAAAAAAGAATTTCTGCATACAGAAAGAATTCTCGCCATCATCATGCTACAATCGACATGATCCGATCGCTCCATTAGAAAAAAAAAAAAACAGAAGAGATAGCTCAAGCACTCGTTAAATTATAGGAACCCCTTCTAGCTAATACTACTCTTCGGGCTAGGTGGCACATAATTTTTTTAAAATAAATTTTTTTTATATAATATAAAAATTTTTTTATTTAAAAACAAATTATAATAAAATTATACAAGAAAATTTATTTGATACCTAGATGAACTATTCAACTTTAATAAACAACTATCAACCAACTTATTATAGTATTTAGGTAAAGAGTAAAATTGCGAGAGAAACATTTTTTGTTAGAGTCTCGAAAAAAGTTTTTTAGTAAAATTTTGTATTATTATAATATAGATAAGAAATATTATATACTGTTTCATCCAGGATAAGAATTAAAATATATCCGTAATTTGTAGCAGATTAAAATAAAATTTTGTTTAGTGTAAAATAGTCAAGCCACTAAAAATTACAAATTTTTAAAATATATTTTTTGAGTTAGAGAAAGTAAAATTTATAGTAAACAAATATATTTATAAGTTATTGCATAGTGGTAAAAAAAATATTGGTACTGTACGATAGTATTGGCATAGATTAGTGGATGAATCAGATGTTTTGGAGTCGCGATAATGGCCTCTGATCTCATAGGCAGACATTCGTATGATTGGCAGTTTAAATCAATTTAATTTTACATTATTTATACAGTTTAAAGTACTTTTTAAAAAAAAGAAAACTACGAAGAATAAACAAAAAAGAAATATATAGAAAGGTGTTTTAGAGAAGTTAGCTGATAACCTAATTTTAAGAAGTCGTTATTATTCTAACTTCTCTAAAACAAAAAAGAATTTTGATTATTTTTAATAGTGGAGTCCTACAACCCTAATAAACCTTTCTATGTACTTCTTTTTTGTTTATTCTTCATAGTTTTCTTTTTTTTAAAAAGTACCTTAAACTGTATAAATAATGTAAAATTAAATTGATTTAAACTGTCAATCATACGAATGTTTGCCTATGAGGTCTAACGTACAATATTACCTTTTCGGGTCTTGGAGTAATAATTTAATTTATGCTAATCTTAAAAATTCATGCATATTTTCCATATTTGTATTAATTAATTGATGCATTATCATTATGTAATAATATTAATACTGTAATACGTATGATAGTATAGTAAAATTATGATAAAAGAAGAAAAGTTGATTAAAAAGTTTTGATTTTTTTTTTATTTAAAATCAAAATAAAGAGATACAAACTTTCAAAGTAATTTAATAGCAAAGGTAATAAATAATATTGTTCAAAGTTAGCAAGAAAAAGACACGATTATATAAAGTTAATTAAATTCTTATCTAATTATAATTTTAGACTTCAAAATGGGCAGAACACGAAAAGTTGTTAAGAAAATAAATGATGGTAAGAAATGAACTTGCCTTTGTAATTAGAATATCCTTTGCTGTATTATGTATTTATTATTTTATATAATTGTTAGCTTCTCTAAGATCAACTGAAACAAATAATTCAGTTGATGATCAAGCTACGAATATAGAAGTTACATCGAATAAAAGGAAAAATAGTTCAAATCGTACTAATATAAAAAAGAGAAGAAATTATGCAGAACCTAGCTTGATTAATAGCGATGAATCTCCTTTGAAACAAATAATCCAGTTGAAAATCATGAACTACAAGCTACGAATGTGGATGTTACATCAAATAAAGGAAAAAAATCATCGAATCGTACTAACACGAAAAAGAGAATAAAAGTTGAACCTAGTTTTATCAATAATGATAAGGGTATAATTTTATTTATGTTTTCTATAATATGTAAATAAAATATTAACTTATTATACAATTTAGAGATAATTCAATCAAGTTCTCCATCTTTAATTAAAGACAATTTGCCTTCTAAAAATAGTGCACAACAAAGAAAACAAGTATCAAATGCTTCGTCCTCATCCTCATTAATTAAAAACACTTCATCTTATAAACAACAATCATCTGTATCCAAAACTTCTCCATCTTTTTCAGTCAGAAATGGCTCTCCCGAAAGTATTTATAGTAAATAATCGCCATCACCCAATATTGTCTCATCTTCCTTAATCAATAGTTCTTTCGAAGATACTAATAACCAACAATGTCTATCAATATCAAATGACACCGATATCTCTCATATTCTTTAATTGGACTCTTTAAAAATGATTTGGAGATTTGCTTATACCTCGTACAGCATCCCAATCTCATTAAGTTAACGTTGAATATGATAGAAGCAGGCGGCCAAGGTTCTACAGATATCCAACAAAAAGCTAATGAGTTCAACATATTACCAGAAAAAGTAGGTTTTAATTTATAATTTGGATAATATTTCAATTATTAATATTTTATTAAAATAGGACCTTGGACTCTTCAGATGCATCTTAAACGCCTGTTTTTTCATACCCATACTGTAAACAAGCACATTATTGATGTGTTGATCAGATCCTTATTTAAAACATTCAGCCAAATGCATCAGAACGTACTACATTGCAGAAATGGGCCTTTGCTTGCTTCCGGGATTATAATGCATTTTTAAGAAAAGAACTTAGAAATTTAGTTCCTAAATTTATAAGGAAATATAAGTAAGTTTTTTATAATAATTAATGTTTATTTATATAAAATAGAAAGAAAATTAAATAATAGTTTTCAGATTAACTAAGTCAAAGCCACCCGAATTGAAGCAACTTTATGAATATATTACAGAAAACAATTGGCAAGCCTTTTTAAAATACCATATGGATATTTTAGATTTAGAGAAGACATTCAGAAAGCGGCCTGAAAATGTTGCCAAATTTACCAAGTTCATATGAACAGCTTTTAACCTCTTCGTCCAAGAAGATCTTCCGGATAAAGATGTGATCAATAAAGTCAAAGATCTTAATTATATGACAGTTAATATGATTATATTTACAGCTGATGGAAACAATTCCTCGCAGCAATTAGATCTTGGGTCACTTCTAAAGTTTGACTAGCACTATATTTCAATAAAATCAATAAAATGGAATACTAATATTACTTAAGATAATATAGTATAATGTAGCTATTATCACTTAATATTTAATGTAAAAAAAAAAAGAAAACATTAGTTTAATTACTAGTTATCTTTCAAATCTGTTTCTTTGAGAAAGAGCATTATTTAATTGCTAGTTATCATTCAATAAATCATATTGCTTTGAAACTTATATAACTGTTATCGATAGTAAATGCCATTATCACGTCTCTTGTTCCTCTTACTTCTATCTTGGTAATATATATAAATGATCATTTTCAGCACTAACTTTCGATACAAATACAAACTTTATGATAATCAATCATAATAAATATAATACATCACTATCTCATTATTTTAAATTACATTCTTACAAATATTCAATCCTTAATGATTTGTGGACATACGTATGTTGTAAAGGGGCATGTTATTATCATTAAATTATAGTGCCCAATATTGATAGTACTTCAAAATTATTCAACGCTCAATACGTACTAGTACATTACTATAAATAGAATCCTGGGTATATTTGAATATATCGATATGTACATTTCGTACATATCAATATGTATATTTTGAACATAAAGACAGGATATAAGTTAGCATAGCCAGTATAGTTATCGCATACTCAAAAGAAATCCAAATAAATAAAAAAAAAAATCTAAAAACTCATCTTTTCATGCAATGAGTTCTAAAAACTTTGAAAAGATAAAAAGTAGAAGTTGCTCCCTTTTATTATAAAATCACTTCTAATAAATCATTTTTTTCCCTGTGATACCTTCAAAAATCGTTATTTTTATCATAAAAGTAAAGAGAGAAAAACTATCAATTAGTAATCAGCTCCCTTTTATAACAAATAAATTAAACTCTTTGTTTTACTATTGTTATCTGCTTGCGTCGATCAATTGAATTAATCTTGTGGCATGTGACCTGAAGTAAGAAGAATACTTAAAATAAAAGCTATAGAAGATACGTTAGTGCTGAAATTACACAATATATACAAGTAACCAATAAGCTCAAGTAAAAAGAAACATATCTGAGCTCCGGTATTGTCTCTACAAGGCCCAAACTCTAAAAATCATAACCTCTCCCAGGCCACAACATCCCATTTTAGTAATCTCTTAATTAACATTTTCTTATTTAGGATGGATTTGTGTATTATGTATAGAAAAATCTCAAATGAGATCTAATTTTTTATCTTAATCTTAATTATACCAGTATAAGAAAAATTTCATAAAAATAAATTGCTATGTGCTTGTATATATTCAGAACTGTAAATCAATTAATTACCTAGAAATGACGGCTTGATCATGTGAAAATAGGCAGGTAATTTTTTTTTGAGTCACTTTATAGTTATTGAACTAGAAAGCTCAAATGTATTTATTAAGCTTATTATAATAATATTCAGTAATCTATAATATTAAAGGTTACTTAGTAAGAAATTTAATTATTTGAAGTTATTTGAGAACAATAAAATCTAGAAAGTTAAAGTTTAATAAAAATGATCAAACTTCACTCCAAGATAAATAAATATAAAAGCAAATTCTCATTAACTTTTTTTAGTTTTTCTTCTCTTTCAATTTCGCCCTAATATGCACCATCACCTAAAGATTATAAAATAAATATTTTCATCTTATAGACTTTTTTTTCGTCTTTTTTCTTTCAACCTTCGCCTTAAACTATTGCCGAAATTATTTATTTCCATCTTATAGACTTTTTTTCGTCTTTTCTTTCAACTTTCACCTTAAACTATCGTCAAAATTATTTATTTCCATCTCATAGACTTTTTTTTCATCTTTTCTTTCAACTTTCACCTTAATCAATTACTAATATAAATTAAATACTTTCACTTCCAACTACCAACTATTTATCATAAAACACTTTATCATAAAAATGAACTGAGTGCGAACCAAAAAGACAAAAAAAGCGACTCAAAAAGTTGGATTATGAAAACGTATCGCACATAAGAGTTTCAGCCAAATACAAAAAGAATTTGCACAACCTTATACCTCACAAGATATTAGAAGCCAAGCTTCGTTGAACTCAGTAAATAATGATTATCATAGTGACCAAAACTTACAAGAAAGTTTTTTTAGAAAAAAATCAGTATATTAATAACGACTTTGAATGTAGTTTCTCTATAGATTCAGATATGTCGAATAGCTAATCGGATATGTTGAGTAGCGAATCAGACAAGTCAAGTAACAAATCGGATATATCAAGTAACAAATCAGATACTTTGAGTAATATGTCGGATACTTTGAGTAGCAGTGGCCAGTCAACAATTATGGAACAAGTTGGACTACAATCAGAAGTTACACAAACTATAGTAAATAGTGGAATTGATTTTTAGCCGCTATCTGTGAGTACGGTCCATACTTTAAAAACTTTACAAAGATGTTGCTATTTACTTGGGTTACTAAACATATGATCAGTATGTATTAATTTATTTATCATTATATCTATCGCTACGTATACGTATATATTTTTAATATTGAGGTGACCACTTAGGCCCCTGGCACTTTATTAGTTTAAACAGGTGGGCTATTGTCCGAAGACTGGCTTACATATTACATAGTATAACGAGAGTACAACTAGTCACACGTACAACTTTTGGTTGCCTATTTAAGTAGTCCGCCCGAAGCGTTAGTG